CACACACACACACACACACACACACACACACACACACACACACACACACACAACTTAATGCGAGACATTAATTAGGAGCATCTGTGTGTATGTGAGTGAGTGAATGAGAGGCAGAGAAATGGAGACAAAAGCAAAAAAAGAAATGTGCATGAGGGAAGAGATGTGTGGGCATACATACACGCTTGTAATGTGTGTTTCCAGTCCACCCCCCAGGATAATGTATGGCATGGTATGCTTTTAATTGGGCTATTAGCCATGCAGCTGAGCTCAAGAGCGATGCCCCCTGTCAGACACTAAAGGGTTAACAACTGAGGTTAGCTTTAGAGTTTAAAAGACTTCTTGTTTACATTTGACTGAGTTGCCCCAAAGGGAAGAAGTAAATCCCTCATGGCTCCACCTTTACCTTTCAAATCAAGGCCACCAAAGTCCATGACACAAACACTGAATTAATTGAGCATATTAATATTCTTGCAAAGAAAATGCATAATCCTCTGTATAACACACTAAAACAAAGGCGTTAAATTCTGAACACAGAGGATTGTTTATTTTAATATCAAAGTGTTTCCTAAACATGTGCCGGCTTCACGTCCCTCCCAAAAACAGAGGATTAGCCGTTGCTCGTCCGCGGTGGCACACTCCCTCGCTAAAACGGGCAAACATGGCTGAACTTTCACACAGCATCCGACTTCTTTTGAAGTCGAGCATTGTGTAACCGAATAAGCTACCGTTTTCTCACAACATCTGCTTGTCAACCTCGCTTTCAACTCTGAGCTTTTGCCAGCCAACTCAAAAAGAAAAAAAAAACGGTGGGGGATTTACAGACGGGGAAGAAAAGGAAAAACAACAAAACCCTCTCCTTTGAATCCCCTCTTTGAGTAACAAGGTGCAATTATGGTCAAATGATTGTAATATTTTAGCCTGCTATATAATCGAGAAGAAAACCCATTTCGTCTGTAGTGTAAACACTACTTAGAGTGTTTTCGATCTTTAAGCTGGTGTGGGAAAGCAGCTTGAACTTTGCATAAGTCTGGCCGAAAGGCAACGAGGTTTAAAAGAAGTTTGGAAAGGAGAATTCTCTGAGCTTTAAATGGGTTGAGGTGACACGTTGTAATGTTTAACACATGGGACCAAACTTCAAGTGTGGCCAGAGGAAAAAGGTATGGAGGTGCCAGAAACAGGAATTACAGGACAAAATGTGGCAAAGCACAAACATATGCCCCTTTTCCACTAGTGTCACTTAGTMTAGTGCCGGAATGGTAGGTGTAGGTACGGGTCGGACCGGTTGGTTTTCCACTGATGTTCCAGTCCGGTTCCAATGGGTGTGTTTTGGGCGGTTGATGGAGGTGGTTTTTAGGTATTTTGAAAAAGCATTAATGGGCAAAATGAGAGATGGAAACACATTTGATGAATAACTTTTGAAATTTTAAACACTTGCAAAAATTTAGCCAATCAGTGAAGACCAGTGTTCTGACGTTGCATTTTGGTGTCAGCTGGGGCCGGTTGGAACCACAATGAAGTAGGTACTTAAAAAAGTGCCGGTTCCATGGATCTGGCCTAATGGAAATGGCTTGGAACCGTACTGAACCGTACCAACACTACACTAAGTGGCACTAGTGGAAAAGGGGCAATAGGGAACTTAGTGAAATAACTAACTTTAACAGATGTTGACAGGTGAATTGTAATTTCTACTTTTAGACATTACAGCAACTAAAAAGTATTGAATACTCTGCAAATCCAATAGAAACACTACTGGGGTATGTGGACAGAGTATGTATACCATATTGTACTGTTTGTCCACCATGTGGAGGCAGGGCTTATAAGGCTGAGTTCACCTGAAACTCATCAGACTGAAGAAGTCTCTTGGAGGAGAGACGAAACGTTTCACTAAAGAAGAACCCATCCAGAGGACCTACTTATTTTTTATTTCTACCTGGATTACTGAGATGCATCAGGACATACTGTATATTAACTCTCAGTTTGCCTTTACGCTCAGGCAATTCCACTTCCCTTCAAGCTCTACGAAAAACGTGGGAGCTTGAGTGTTCTGCGCAGGACCATACCTGTTCCTAGGACTGGGTTCCTGGGATCTGTTAGAGCCACTCTCCCAGTTTTGAGATCACAGACCTAAGAGCTCCACTGGTAGCACCGAGGCTTTGATTTTCCACCACTTGATTTTTCCCGAGCTTCTCGTGCTTTTTCTTGATGAATTCAACAATCACGATGTTCGGTTGGTAAGTGACCACCTTTGGAGCTCCTCAGCTAAGTTAATTATTCAATAAATCAACCTTTAGCCTGCCTGCTTCAGTGACTGCTTTTAAGTATTTTTTTAAACTCCTTTGTGTAAAGAGCAGAGGTAATCTTTGACCTTACTTACATTTTTAATATTTCTTTTTATTGTTGTTTCAGTTTTATCATTCATCATATTGAATGTTTTATACTGTCTTTTATTTCACCTTATTGGTAACAGTGCTTTAATATTAGTTAAAGGGGCAATATCATGTAAAATCAACTTTTTTGAGCTTTATATCATGTTATAATGTTTTCCTCTCATCAAAAACATGCCCAGAGTCTTGCTTTGACTCATTCATGCATGTTTGAGAAATCCTGTAGTGTCCTGAGGCAGCAGGCAGGGGAGCAAAAACGACTGGTTGGGACTAGAACCACCTTTTTGGGACCAGCTCCTCCTCTGGGCTGTGTCTCCAAGCTGAGCTTCCTCATCACAGAGCACACACACCTAACCAGCCTGTGCTGAAATGGGCGGGACAGAAGCTGAAGGATGTTCTTAAAGAGACAGAGGCCAATTTGAAGGTGTTTAGAAACAGATATGATGAGAAGTCAAGTTTATTTTCTATTTAAACATAAAAACAGCATTTTATTAACAACTGAAGGTGAGAAAGTTACTTTATTATGGTATAGAATTTAAATATATGTCTGAGAAACACATAATATTGACCATTCAATTGTGCACTATGGCAATAGTTTTACCTGTTTAGCTCCTTGTAACTTTGTTTTAAAAGATGCTGTAAATTAAATTTTATTACTATTATTCTGATTTGACATTTATTAAACTACACTTAAATGTGTCCCACAAAAGCATTGAGAAATTTTTGCATGTTAAAAAAATGAAGAAGGTGAAGCATTTGTCAACCACAAGTAACCTCTGCAAGTCATAGCTGCCAGAAAAAGGGCACAGATAAATCTAAACTAGATCTCAGCAGTGTTTTGAAAGGTATCCTGAAATTCAATGTCATATTGGTTCCTGTACAGGTATGATGGGAACCGATGGAGTATATCTGGATGTCACAAATCCAATTTTGAACTAAAAACTACTAAAATAATGAACCACAAGACAGTCAATTTAAGATAAATCAAACAAATTGAGTCAGTTTTGAACAAACTGTAACTTTATGCAAAACTTTGAAGACATGTCTGACCAGCATTTCTCCAGATTTAGCAAATAACTTTAAGTTCTTTCATTTTATGTTCCTGGTGGAATAAATATTATATTTTAACTGAGGGCTTTGTCTGTACGTTTAAAGCCCAGAAAACATTATTTTATAAAATTCTGCTCAAGCGGTGAAATCAAAGTGCACAATTATCATATCTAGACTCTTTAACTGAAATTAAATAAGAAAAATGTGTCTTCTGTATTATTTATTTATTTAACAGCCCCTCCTTAGAGGTAAAAGTGTGGTGAGTTGTGCGTCCTTCACCTCCCCACATTGGTCTGATCGGTTGGGTTGAAAGAGAGCAACATTAAATGAAAGAAAGAGGAGAAAACTGATTACCTGGGCAGACCTGGCGAGCTTCTGACTGCACTCTTTCTCAATCTGCTTCAACCTGCTGTGGGCCTGCAACAAGAAGGACGAGAGAGGCGGGTGTGAGGAAGAGATATGCAGACAGGTGGATACAAAGAGACACAACAGAGGTGAAATTTAATCTTCTGGTAGGAAGTGCACAGAGACATATCATCCTCCCAACCTTCCCATTCTCTCTCTGACACACACACACACACACACACACACACACACACACACACACACACACACACACACACTCTTTGATAGACTTGGCGAAAGATCCAAGGTCTGATTCAAAA